GGCGACCTCCTTCTTCACAAATTCCCTCCTCTCGGCCGAGAGGGGTCTCCTTCGCTGCTGTACTGGTTTGGTCGAAGGGTCCACCGAGAGGCGGTGGGCGATGACCCTTCGGCTGATCCCCGGCATGTCCTCCGGCCCCCATGCAAAAACAATGGAGTAGGCGCGGAGGGCGCTGATGATGCCGGTCTTCAAATCTTCGGGGAGCTTGGCTCCAATCTTCACGACTCTCTCCCGCTTGGCCGGATCGAGCGCGAAGTCTTCTACCTCCTCGGCTGGTTCAGCCCTCGGCCTCCTTTCTTCCGCTTCCACAGTTCCGGTGATGGTGTCAACGCGGAACTCCGTCTTGCTAACCTTCTTCGTAACTTGAAGGTAGCAAGCGCGGGCAAGTTTTTGGTTCCTCCTTGAGTAACCGATTCCCCCCTCGGCTGGGAACTTGAGGCAGAGGTGCCTCATGGAGATGACGGCTTCGAGGTCCTCGAGGGCTGGCCGGCCGAGGATGATGTTGTGGGCACAGTCGATGTTGACGACGATGAACTCCACTTCGAGCTTGGCTCTATGGAGGCCGTCGCCGAAGATGACCGGGAGGGTTATGACCCCCTCGGAATCAATGGTGTCGCCGGTAAAACCGGCAAGAGGGGTCTTGATGGGCCGAAGGGACCCCCTCTCCAGATGCAGCTCTCTGAAGGTGCTGAGGTACATTACATTGACGGAGCTGCCCGTGTCAATGTAAGTTCTGTGAATAATGGTGTCGTTGATCTCTGTGCGGATGACGAGGGCAACCCTGTGGGGGGAGGATACTGGGGGGAGATCAGCGTTGGTGAAGATAATGGGTTCCTCCCTCAGCCACTTTACCGGGGGCATATGAGTGACTTCCCCCACGTAAAGTGATTGAGCCAACTTCTTTCGTTGACTTGTAGAGTCACCCCATTGATTTCCCCCCGTAATCATGAGGATGTGGCGTTTCTTTTCTTGGTACCGGGGGTACTCCTCCTCTTCTTCCTCCAGATTTCGAATCTCCCTCTTCTTGCCGAGGGGGATGGTGTTGGGGTTGACCCATGCATTCCCTCTCGCAGTTTTCCCTCGGGGTGGCCCCTGATGAGGGGGGGGGCCTGTTGCTGAGGGCCCTGGACAAACTGGGACTGATGGCCCGCTTGTATCAATTTCTCGATGGCCGTCTTCAGCTGATGGCAATCATCGGTCTTGTGCCCCTGGTGCCGGTGGAAGCGACAGTAGGGGTAGTTTGGATTGATGGCAAATACTTCTGAGGGCGCGCGTGAATCTCGCTCCACGAGGCTCCTCTCCTCAGCAAAATCCAGGATGACGCTGACGGGGTGCGTCAATGGTGTCCGAGGGTGCTCCAGGAGGACAGGCTGTGCCCAAGCCCTCGAGTTTCCCTTGTAGCCTCCCCCGGGCTTGGCTTGGCCATGCCGGGGGCGATCACCGGAGGGGGCAGGATCCTTGGGATGATTGCGGGGAGCCCCCGGCCCCCGGTTACATTTGTCTTCTGGCCGAGGGCGTTGCTGATCTGGGACATGGTGGCATTTCTCCACCTCCTCGGCCTCGGCGTACCGGTCCCCCCGCTGTAGGGCCCTAATATAATCGCGGGGGGGGGGGGGGGGTTCGACGATGAGGCTTCTGGAGAAGTTCCCGGGGCGGAGCACTGTTTGGAGGAGGGCCAGGAGGGTCCCGTCATCAGCACCATCAACTTTGTCAGCCTCCGTCCTCCAGCGCTCCAGGAAGTCCCGAAGGGTCTCCTCCTTCTTCTGCCTCACTGTTAGCAAATGGAGAAGTGTTTTCTTGTGCGGCGCCTTCCCGCAAACTGCGTCAAGAATCGTTGGGCGAATTCTTGCCATGAGTCGATACAACCTTCGGGCAACCGGTTGAACCATTCGTAAGCTGACCCCTCTAGGGGGGAAAGGAACCAGCGGCACAAATATTCATCCGATGCCCCCACCATCATCATGCTGTTTTGATACCTGCTGTAGTGCTCTTGGGGGTCAGTCTTTCCGTCATAGGGCTTGATGAGCTGCCCTCGCTATTTTTCCGGGATCCAGGCAGCCAATATGCTTGGGGTAAATGGCGTCCAGGTCCGGAGCTGTATGGTGGGTTCCCCGGAGCCCTCGGCTATCTTCTTCTGCATTTCTTCCATCTTGGCCATCATCGCCTCATACTTGAAGTCCGCATGAGGGGCAGAAGTGGTGGCGTGGGCCTTGGTGGCCTCCATCTCGTCAAGCCGGCACTAGAGGGCCGCAATAATTTCGTCCCGAGGGTCCTTCTGGAGGGCCTCCGCCCCCTGCGAATGGACCCGCGCCGAGTGGGCTTGATTGATTTGATGGCATGCGTCGTCGGCATGGAGAGGTGCCTTGCCCTTGTCCTGAGGGGGACGTCTTTCATTGGCCCTGGAAACGGACCCACCACTTTCCTGAGGCCTTTGGAACGCCATCCCCCCGAGGAGGTCTTGGACCCCTTGGCGGTCTTGCGCCCCTCCGAGCCTCTCGAGGGCGGAGGTCCGGAGGTGCTCCTTGTTCACGTCGTGGCGATCCCGGGACTGGAATTCCTGGGAGGCCGTGTCTTGGGCCACGACCCCCTCGGAGTTCCCCATCCGGAGGACCGGGTTACCGAGGGGTCGTGGATGAGGGGGAGGCATAAATTCTCCCCCGCCTGAGGTTGGAGGGGAACCAAAGTGCCGAAGGCACCCGGGTTCTGGGTGAGCGTCTGGATGAAGGCGGAGAACGCCGATTGAACGTCGATGGTAATGACCAGAGGGCTAATTTGATTCTCGCTCCGGTCCTTTTTCTTGGCCTCGATGCCGAGGCGGGCATCGGGGGCATTTTATTGAATCTGCTGGCGTAGGTCGACAGCCGTCTGGTCCAACCCGGCGATGACGCCGCCCCTGGGAGCCCTGTTAGAGGCCTCGGGGACGTCGACCTCGCCGAGGGCCAGGTTCCTGTCCTCTACATTCTTGGAGTTGGCACGAGTCGTTCTCACCATTTTGGATGGGTGTTTTTGGGTTTGGTCGAGGGGGAGGGTTTCTTACTTGATAGTTCGACCTCTCAACGAGAGCACCAAATGATGGATAGTGTACCCGGGGGGTAGCTTATCCGAGGGGTTATTGCGGGGAATAATAAGAGAGAAGTCAGAGCAAGTAAATATAGAGAGAGAAAGTATATTGTAAAGTGTTCAGCGTTTTCAGCGTGGTTACAAATGGGGAAATGGGGTGCTATTTATAGTAGCAATAAATGCCGGACAGGGACACGTGTCAAGCGTCCATTGGCCGAGAGGTCACCTCATCTGGTTGGCGCTGGCAACCGCATGTGGCCGCATTTAATGCGGCTGTTGGATGGGACGTTGTACAGGGTACGGTGATCTGTACGCATGTGGAGCGGATATTGTGTCGAAGAGGCGCCCTCGGCAGTAGATGACTAGCCGAGGGCTCTGAGTACCGGGGACCCCCTTAGTGCCGAGGGCTCCAGTTGCCGAGGGCTACTGATTTTCGCTGTTTTTCCCAGTAACTTTGTTTTCCTGTCCTGGCCCTCTTGTGAGAGTTAGAGCCTTCGGCCAGGGGGCCGAAGGCACCCCTGGTGCGTGTTGTGGACTGCTTGGTACTCTGGGCGCTGTGATTTGGGCCTGTTGTGCTTTCTGGGCCTGTTGGGCCTTTATTGGAGTAGTAGGAGTCTGTGGGCCGGGGGTTCCCGGGCCATATACTCCATCAGGAGCATTTACTTGTTTTAATATTTTAAGTGAAACAATACAAATGTAAGTACCAAATTGAGACTTTTCTTTGTAAAAAAAAGGATGACACTCCATCCCTGAGGGCTCCCCAACCCCGACCGGACGGTACGTTGGGAGGATGTAAATTGGACTATAATCCCAATTTGACAGATAGAGAGTGGGGTTCTGTCCCCGGTACTTGCAGAGGCCCTATGCATTTTTATCATAGTAACTCTTCATCGCAATTGCCGAGATTTGAACCCGGAACTTAACCCTTGTGGCACTCCCTTGCTACCAGTTGAGCTACACCTACCGGTGAGACTTTTCTTTGTTATTACACTACAAGTGAACATGTACCTAGTGGTTAGAAAGTAGAATTCACAATCACAAAAGGTGTGTTAGTGTGTATGTTTATTTATTTAGAAATGATAGAGGTATCCCATTTTGGGTACCTTATTTGTACCTCACTCATTGAGTGACTGACAAAATCTCAACCCAACAAAATAATTGCTCCACTTTAACTCATTGCTTTGGTGAACCACAAACATAGGGTGTGAGTACAAATTGGGGTACAAAACGAGTACCTTTAGATTTTTCCTTATTTATTCGCTAACCGTGCTTGTGAAAAAGTGTCATCTAAAAATGCAGTATGTCAATTTTGTAATTAAGAGTTTAAATCCTTGAACTCATACCACCCTGAAACATGTATGGTCTAAGTGATTACTGATTAGTCATGTTGCACAATTAAAGGGCGTTACATTCTCGGTCATTTGAACATGATATCATTAACATAGAGATAGACAATTTAACATTAGAAGCTTTAACCCTCACCCTAATAATTACTCGTTCAGTTCCATAAATTTTTTCTTGTTTACCATTTCGGGATGTTCCAAAAAAATCTTCCAATTTCTTTTTCGACTATTTTGTGTGACTAACATTCATTTACATTTTTCTCACTCGATCACAACCACAAATTTCCACTTTATTCTAATCAAATTTTGATTCAAATCAAATCTCGAAGAATTTTATGAGATACTCCCTCCTTCCCGTAAAATAGTTCTCAATTTTCTTTTTGGGTCGTCCCAAAAAAATTGTTCTCATTTTCCTTTTTGGAAAGTTTTGTGTGGCTGTAATTCATTTACATTTGTCTTACTCAATCGCAACTATACATTTTCACTTTATTTTCACTTTTTTAAAGTTCGATGCAAATCTTTGTGGGAACTATTTCACGGGATTGAAAGAGGGAATACTATGGATCAAGATAGTATGATGATAGTATTGATCATCAATTGGTGCCTCACTAAGGCAGCACTCACTATCACTATAAATATGCACCCCACCCTATACTTTCTTCAAGTCCGGCCTAAACTAATTCTCAAGTTCTCCCATTCCCAGAGAGATCTGATCATCCCCTTCAAAAAACCAATGGCTTCAAGGAATGTCCTGAGCATGGAAGAGTTCTTGGAGGAGATATCCCTCCAGCAACAGGCCGTTGCTCTCGAGCTGAGACGCAAACAGCGCCAATCTTCCTCTGAAACTGATCCCGACACCACTGCAAAGGAACTTCTGGAGGCGATCGACCTCCAGGAACGGATTGCCATCTTTGAAAAGAAGAAGCTCGAGAAACAAGCTCAAGTCCAGCATCCAAAGTTTATAGAGATGTTTGGAGAGTTTTACCACCCTGAGCCTAGTAAGCCTCCTTCTATTGATGCCTCCAGCTCCTCTGCTCCTGTAACCAGTAGTGAAGAAGGTCGTGGTGGCCGTGAGGGAAATGGAAGTAATTATTTTACTCCTCGTTTTTATTTAACTTCAATTCCTTGAATGTTTTATTAGGACTGAACTGGCTTTCTTGGTTTGGGAAAAACACGTTTCAGGAATCTTTTATACCTAAGAAAAGGAGAGTGATTTTATGAGTTTCCGAGGAACTGAAATGAAAATGTTGTAATGGAACTGGGAGACTTAGTTAGTCCAATTTTAACTTATAATCATAGATTAATTGATACAACGGAAGAGATTTTGAAATTTGAGCAAATTTTTAAAAACGAAAAAGATCATTTTGCTTTTTTGATTCAGACAAATAACAAAATGAATCGACTCAATTCTAGAAATTCTTTACTTGATTGGATGAGACTCAATGAAGAAATACTCGACCGTTCATCAACTGTTGAGGAACATTTGCTCTTCCCATGTTTTTAATTGTATTATACGGAGTACTACATAATTTTCTAAACTAGTCTGATTTGGTCGGGTTTTCAAGCCTGATTTAGCCTTTTGGATGACTCTTCTATATATTTGTATTTTACAAATATCCCAGTTTGATTTGTTTTGATATTATCTGATATGGGTATTGAAACTAGTGCAATTAAAAACCAAGAGAAATTGCAGCAAACCAAAAGTTTTCAATTTTCATGTTTGCAGGTTCCACAAAGGTTTTCATTTTCTTTTTCTTTTTTTGGGTTCTCAATTTCTATTTTAGAAAGTAATTAACACTCTAAAGAAATAATTTACTTATCAAATATTATAAATAATACTATCATATGAAGTACATCTATAACATTACATTTATCATCAATATTTGGCTATATTTATAATACTCATCAAAACTTGTATTTATTTCTCAAAATATACTCGACTTAACATATTTCATTAGTATTTAAATAATCTTGTTATTTTAGGGATATGATTTTTGAACGGGTACTATAAAGTACACTGATTTACTGGTGGGAAAAACAAAACCAACATATACTGTTTGTGATCCTTCGAATTTATTGTAGTTTTTGTTTTTCTTTGTTTATGGTCCTTAGGAGGAGGCACGGATTGAAGGACGAATGCTGAAAGTCTGGAACAGAGGCTCGTCTGAGGCAAAAAAAAATTGTGTTTTTTTTTATGTTTCTGTATTTTATTTTAAATTTGGTATATAAAACTTTTATGTTGTACTAAATTTCAATCACGTCTGTGAAAAACATTGTCATAACAGTGCATGGTTCTCTTTTTGCTTACATGATTTATGATAATCGCCTATTATACTTTCACACTTTCAAGTATCCATTGCTCAGAAAAAAAAAAGAAATAATATTGTAATTTTTTTAAATAAAGTACTCCCTCCGTCCTGTTGGAATGTTCCCGGTTTGACCTACACATATTAAGGAAATATATTTATCAGGGGATAAATTTTACTGTTTTGACACTATTTCGACACTGTTTGGCACTGTTTCGACACTGTTTGACACTGCTTTGCACTGTTTGACCCTGTTTTGACGTAGGATGATGGAGTATATGGCCCGGGAACACCCGGCCCACAGACTCCTACTACTCCAGCAAAGGCCCAACAGGCCCAGAAGGCCCAACAGGCCCAAATCACAGCGCCCAGAGTACCAAGCAGCCCGCACTACGCGCCAGGGGTGCCTTCGGCCCCCTGGCCGAAGGCTCTAAACTCTCACAGAACGGGTTTCTCAAGCAAATTAAGAAACTGGGAGAAATCGGCGAAAACAGTAGCCCTCGGCACTGTGAGCCCTCGGCACCAGGGGGGCCATCGGTTTGAGGAGCCCTCGGCTACTGCTCTATAGCCGAAGGCATCTCACTCGACAAGATATCCGCCTCACATGCGTATAGATCACCATACCCTGCACAGACGTCCCATCCAACAGCCGCATTAAATGCGGCCACATGCGGCTGCCAGCGCCAACCAGTTGAGGTGACCCCTCGGCCAATGGGCGCTTGACACGTGTCCCTGTCCGGCATTTATTGCTACTATAAATAGCATCTCATTTCCCCATTTGTAACCACGACATTCATACTGAATACACTCTCTCTCTATATTTACTTGCTCTGACTTCTCTCTAGTTATTCTCCGCAATAACCCCTCGGATAAGCTACCCCCGGGTACACTATCCATCATTTGGTGCTCTCGTTGAGAGTTCGAACAATCGAGTAAGAAACCCTCCCCCTTCGCCAAACACTAGCCCTCTACCAAAATGGTGAGAACAACACGTGCCAACTCAAAGAACGTAGAAGACAAGAACCTGACCCTCGGCGACGTCAACGCCCCCGAAGCCTCTCACAGGGCTCCCGAGGGCGGTGTCATCGCTGGGCTGGAACAGGCGGCTGTCGACCTACGTCTTCAGATCCAACAAAATGCCCCCGATGCCCGCCTCGGCATCGAGGCCAAGAAGAAAAACCGGAGCGATGACCAAGTCAGCCCTCCGATTCTCACCATCGACGTGCAATCGGCGCTCTCCGCCTTCATCCAAACGCTCACTCAGAACCCGGGTGGCTTCGGCACCCTGGCTACGACTCACCCCCAGGTTGGGGAAAACATCATACTTCCCCCTCCGCCACACCCCTTCGGAAATCCCACCCCTCGGGTAAGGAATGACGAAGGGGTAGTGGCCCAGGATACGTCCTCCCAGGAAGTACAGACCCGGGACCGCCACAATGACAACAGGGAGAGGCCTCGCACTTCCGCCCTCAACCGGCTCGGAGGAGGGCCAGACCGCCGAGGGGTCCAAGACCGCCTCGGAGGGAAGGCACTCCAAAGGCCCCAAGAAAGCGGAGGGTCTGTCTCAAGGGCAGACGAGGAGCGTCCCCCTCGGGACAAAGGCAAGGCACCCCTTCATGCCAATGATGCTCGCCACCAGATCAACCAGGCCCACTCGGCCCGGGTTCGTTCGCAGGGGGCGGAGACCCTCCCGAAGGATCCCCGGGACGAGATTATTGCGGCCCTCCAACGCCGGCTTGACGAAATGGAGTCCAACAAAGCTCACGCCACCACCTCCACCCCTCACTCAGACCTCAAATACGAGGCCATGATGGCCAAAATGGAGGAATTACAGAAGAAGGTGGCCGAGGGCTCCAGAGAACCCGTCATCCAGCTTCGGACTCGGACGCCATTTACCCCAAGGGTATTGGCGGCCCGGATCCCGGAAAAATACCGAGGGCAACACATACAGCCCTACAACGGGAAAACGGACCCCCAGGAACACTACAGCAAATACCAGAACATCATGATGATGGTAGGGGCGTCAGACGAATATTTGTGTCGTTGGTTCCTCTCCACCTTAGAGGGGCCGGCATACGAATGGTTCAACAGGCTGCCCGAGGGCTGCATTGATTCGTGGCAAGAACTCGCCCAGCGATTCTTGACACAATTTGCCGGGAGGCGTCGCACGAGGAAGCACTTCTCCCACCTCCTAACCATACGCCAAAAGAGGGATGAGACCCTTCGGGACTTCCTGGAGCGCTGTAGGACGGAGGCCGACAAGGTCGACATTGCTGATGACGGGACCCTCCTGGCCCTCCTACAGACCGTCCTCCGCACCGGCAACTTTTCAAGGAGCCTCATCATTGAACCCCCCCCCCCCCCCCCCCCGCGACTACATAAGAGCTTTGCAGCGAGGGGACCGATATGCTGAGGCCGAGGATGTGGAGAAATATCACCAGCATCAGGATCAACAACCCCCGAGGGCTGACAACAAGCATAACCGAGGGCCGGGGGCTCCTCCAAATCATCCCAAGGCTTCAGGACCCTCTGATGACCGCCCTCGGCAAGGTCAAGCCAAACCCGGGGGAGGTTATAAGAGCAGCCCTAAGACTTGGGCACAGCCCATTCTCCTGGACCGCCCTCGGACACCATTGACGCACCCCGTCAGCATCATCCTTGATTTTGCCGAGGAGAGGGGCCTCGTTGAGCGCGATTCTCGCGCACCCCCGGAGGTACATGCTATCAACCCTCAGTTCCCCTACCGTCGTTTCCATCGGCACCAGGGGCACAGAACCGATGACTGCCATCAACTAAAAACGGCCATCGAGAGATTGATACAGGCGGGGCACCTGCCCCAATTTGTCCAGAGCCCTCGGCAGGAGGGGCCTTCTCATCAGGGACCTCCCCGAGGGCACCACACGAAGGTAAACGCCTGGGTGAACCCGAACACCATCCCCATCGGCAAGAAGAGGGAGATCGGAAACTTGGAGGAGGAAGAGGAGGAGTACCCCCGCTACCAGGAGAAAAAACGCCACATCCTCATGATCACCGGTGGCAATACAGGGGGCGATTCCACCAGCCAGCGAAAGAAGTGGGCTCAATCGCTTTACGTGGGGGAAGTCACTCATATGCCCCCGGTAAAGCGACTGAGGGAGGAACCCATCACCTTCACCAACGCAGATCTCCCTCCTACTTCTTCCCCTCACAGGGATGCCTTGGTGATTCGGACTGAAATAAACGACACCATCATTCACCGAACTTACATTGACACGGGCAGTTCCGTCAATGTAATGTACCTCAGCACTTTCAGAGAACTGCATCTGGAGAGGGGGTCCCTTCGGCCCATTAAGACCCCTCTTGCCGGTTTCACCGGCGACACTATTGATTCCGAGGGGGTAATAACCCTCCTGGTGATCTTCGGCGACGGGCTCCATAGAGCCCAGCTCGAAGTGGAGTTCGTCGTTGTCAACATCGACTGCGCCCACAACATTATCCTCGGTCGACCAGCCCTCGAGGACCTCGAGGCCATCATCTCCATGAGGCACCTCTGCCTCAAGTTTCCTGCCGAGGGGGGCATTGGCTACTCTCGGGGGAATCAGAAAATCGCATGCGCCTGCTATCTTCAAGTCACTAAGAAGGTAAGCAAGACGGAATTCCGTGTTGACACCATCACCGGAACCATCAACCAGGAAGAAAAAAGGCCGAGGGTTGAACCGGCCGAGGACGTAGAAGACTTTGCGCTCGATCCGGCCCAGCCGGAGAGAGTCGTGAAGATTGGAGCCCAGCTCCCTGAAGATCTGAAGACCGGTATCACCGACGCCCTCCGCGCCTACTCCACTGTCTTTGCATGGGGGCCGGAGGACATGCCGGGAATCAGCCGAAGGGTCATCACCCACTGCCTCTCGGTGGACCCCTCGGCAAAAGCAGTACAACAACGGAGAAGACCCCTCTCCGCAGAGAGGGAATTTGTGAAGAAGGAAGTCGCCATGCTCCTCTCCATTAAGCACATCAAGGAGGTGAAATATCCCTCATGGCTAGCGAATGTAGTCCTCGCACAGAAGCCCCCTACCTTCCGCATGTGCGTGGACTACACCGATCTCAACAAAGCGTGCCCTATGGATCCATTCCCTCTACCAAATATTGACCAACTGGTGGATGAGACCGCAGGGTGTGAGATCATGTCCTTCCTCGATGCCTTCAGAGGGTATCACCAAATTTTCATGCACGAGGAAGACGCCGAAAAAACTGCCTTCATGACTCCCGAGGGCATCTTCTGCTACCTGGTAATGGCCTTCGGCCTAAAGAACTCAGGGGCCACCTACACCCGGATGGTGGCCCGGGTCTTTCAAGCCGTCCTAGGGCGCACCATGGAGGCCTATGTTGACGACATGATCGTCAAGAGCAAACAATCTTCCAGCCAGGCTGACGACCTCCGGGAAATCTTCGCCATCATGCAAAAATTCAACCTTCGGCTAAACCCGAAGAAGTGCACCTTCGGCGTCCAAGGGGGCAAGTTCTTGGGCTACATGGTGAGCCGAAGGGGTATTGAGGCCAATCCCGAGAAGATCCAGGCCATCATCAACATGGAGCCCCCACGCAATGTGAAGGAAGTTCAACGGTTGACGGGCCGCCTGGCAGCCCTCAACCGCTTTCTATCTAAATCAACGGAGAAATCTCTGCCCTTCTTCCAGATCATGAGGAAGACGGCTGGCTTTCTATGAACTCCGGAATGCCAGGGGGCTTTGACGAACTCAAGCGATATCTATCTTCACCCCCTGTGCTCTCAAAACCAAAGGTAGGGGAGACCCTCTATCTCTACCTTGGGGTCAGCCCGGCAGCCATCAGCTCCGTACTCATCCGGGAGGAAGACGGCATCCAATATGCCATCTTCTACGTAAGCAAGACCCTAAGGGAGGCCGAACTCAGGTACTCTCCTGTGGAGAAAACGGTGTTAGCCATCGTTTGGACCATCAAGAAGTTGGGCCACTACTTTCAGGCTCACCCGGTTCAGGTCCTCACTCATCAACCCCTCGGCGCCCTCATGAGGAGCCCCACCAGCTCCTCCCGCATGGTGAAATGGGCTATCTTCTTGAGCCAGTACAACATTGACATCCGTCCGAGGCCTGCCATCAAGGGCCAAGCCCTGGCGGACTTTGTGACGGAGTGTACCGCAAGGGCAGCCACGGACGGGGAGCCCTCGGCTACCTCGGACGACTGGTGGACCCTCTACACCGACGGGTCCTCCGCGACCAAAGCATGCGGGGAGGGGTAGTCCTCATTACTCCCGAGGGCTTCCGAGCCTACTATGCAATCCGCTTCTCCTTCAAAGTCTCCAACAACGAGGCCGAATATGAGGCCCTCCTATGTGGCCTTCGGCTGGCTGCCAACATGAGGGCTCGGCAGATCCACATCAAATGCGACTCCAAGTTGGTCGTTGGGCAAATCTCCGAGGAATATGAGGCCAAGGAGGGAAGAATGAAACAATACAAGGAAGCGGCCAAGGAGTTGCTCAAGGTATTTGAGGCACACTCTCTCACTCAAATACCGAGGGCTCAGAACTCCGAGGCCGACATATTATCTAAGCTCTCGGCCGACTCCCCCGAGCACATCTCCAAAATTGCCAAAGTTGAGGAACTCAGCCTCTCAAGTATCCACGCGAGCCCCGTTATGAACATACAACAACGCCAAGAGGATTGGATCTCAGATATCACCGCCTTCATCTCCACAGGGCAGCTACCCGAGAATGAGACCCGCGCTAAACTGGCAAAGCTGAGGGCTCCTAGCTACACCATCGAGGATGGAAGGCTCTACAAACGATCTTACAATGGCACGCTACTTCGATGCCTTCATCAAGATGAGGCCGAGGTCGCAATGGAGGAAGTGCACAGTGGCACTTGCTCAGCTCACCAGGGACCATTCTCCATGTCCCGAAGGCTCATTCTCCAGGGCTACTTCTGGCCAACCATGACCAGAGATTGTGCTGACCTTGCCCGGAGGTGCACCGCATGTCAACATTTCCAGAAAGCCCCCGACAGGCCAGCGGTCAACTATGCCCCCATCAGCACATCTGTCCCTTTTTCTCGATGGGGGATAGACCTAGTGGGCCCTCTGCCGAGGGGTACCTCCAACAACAGGTACATCATTGTGGCCATCGACTACTTTACCAAGTGGGTGGAGGCTGAGCCCCTCGCCAGTATCACAGAGGCGAAGTGCCATCACTTCGTCCTCAAGAACATCCTCACAAGGTTTGGCGTCCCCCAGCAGATCATCTCCGACAACGGAACACAATTTGAGGCAGCCCCCTTCTGTGCCCTTCTGGAGGCATGGGGCATCAAACACACCTTCTCCTCCGTTGCCTACCCTCAAGGCAACGGGCAAGTAGAGAATGCCAACCGGACCTTGCTCGAGGGCCTCAAAAAGAAGCTGGAGGCCGAGGGCGGTGGCTGGGTGGAAGAACTCCACAACATCCTTTGGGCCTACCGCACCACCCCTCGGCGAGCAACAGGTGAAACGCCCTTCTCCCTTTGCTACGGTTTTGAAGCCAAAGCTCCTACGGAAGTCACCCTTCCCACCCGAAGGGTGATCCAATATGACCCCGAGGTCAACGACAGCAACATGGCCCTCGACCTCCACCTCATTTCAGAACGCCGGGAGCAGGCCTTCATCCGAGCAGAAAATTACCGAAGACAAGTCAAAAGCTACATCGACGCCAAAGTTCGCACCAGAGAATTCCAAGTGGGGGACTATGTCCTCCGGAGGAGGGAAGCCAGCCAACCGACCGAGGGAGGCAAAATGGCACCAAAATTCGAAGGTCCCTACATCATAGCAGCCATCGTCAAACCTGGAACTTACAAACTCAAACGTCCTAACGGGAAAGAAGTCCCTAGGCACTGGAATGTACATCACTTAGTTAAATTTTACCAATAATGTAAGAGCGGCCAAACCCTCATAACTAGTGAATGTACTATCCTATGGCCCAAGGCCTCCAATTTCGAAGAATGAAGATACATTCAAGACACCAAGAACAAAACACTTATGAGCGGCCAAACCCCCATGCCAACTACAGGCCCCAGGCCTCACCACAAGAAGAACCCCCTCCGGCACCAAGTGCCGAGGGCGGACACCATCAACACCTACAACAACAGGAGAACACCAAGTGTTCCTACAGAAGACCCTTCGGCACCCAGTGCCGGGGGTACACATCTCCGCCCTCAACGTCAAAGATAAGAACACCAAGTGTTCCTACAGAAGACCCTTCGGCACTCAGTGCCGGGGGTACACATCTCCGCCCTCAACATCAAAGATAAGAACACCAAGTGTTCCTACAGAAGGCCCTTCGGCACCCAGTGCCGAGGGTACGCTTCCATCACCAACATCAAAACGAAGAAAAACACCAAATGTTTCAAAGAAGACCCCTCGGCACCCAGTGCCAGGGATATGCTCTCCTATCAACTTCCAAACATCTGTTGGGAAACACCAAGTGTTTCCTCCGAGGGCCCTCCGGCACCAAACACTCCAATCAAAACACCAAGTGTTTCATTTGAAGACCCTTCGGTACCAAGTGTCGGGGGCTACACATCGAAACTAACACCAAGTGTTGTTTCTAAAAGCCGTACCCCACGAGGACGCATATACCGAAGGCGCCACCATCGGTGCCGGCGGCACGTAGTGCCCCCGGCCATTTGCAACTAGTTTGCAAATGAAAACCCTTCCTTGAAACGCTTTTCGCGTCACTACCCCCAGGGTATGACAGGCATGAGAAATGCCAAGGATTCGACTTTCAAAAACGGAACGCTACCCGCGTCATCACCCCAAGGGTATGACAGGCACGAGAAATGCCCAGGATTCGACTTCCAAACCGAAACGCTCCCCGCGCCACCACCCCAAGGGTGTGACAGGCCACGGACTATGTCTAACGCCGAGGGGACGACTTTCAAAAACGAGGCGCTTTCCGCGCCATCCCCCAAGGGGAGGCAGGTTACGGACCACTATATCTTGTGCCCAGGAAACGACCCTCGATCCCCTCGGAACTCGGAAGGTTAACCCGAGGGAGGAGAGCCATTGGTGTATTCTGATGGTCTCCTAATAGGCCCAGCCTTACCAAGAAACCAAGTTTCTTGATGCCTTCCCTTCACCACCAACCAAAAAAAAGGGGGGTGAAGGGGAGTAGACTCAGCGAGAAATCAAAGAGTACACTCCAACAGATCACAACATGCCGAGGGCTCCCCACGGGAACACCTCCGGTAATTGAAGGCTCCTATTTCCCGAAGGATACTACTCAAACAAATATCATCAAGAAACAGCTAAGTCCACTGCCTGGTCACCTCCGGTCACACAAGCACCGAAGGCTTCAACAATACGAAGGGACTGGACTATCCAAAGTCTACTAAACGGTAATTCAAACAAATACCGAGGGCATCTGTTATGCACTAATACCGAGGGCCCTTACCCCATGACAAGGGTCAAACTCTACAACTTTCCAAGTTGTATGCCGAGGGCACACACTCCTCATTGGCTTTCTTCACAACAACAGGATTCCACACATATTTGGCCCTCGGCCAGAGACTCATACAACACAAGGGATCTACATCCGGAAGCTTGACATCACTTTACGCTTAAAAAATATTCTAAGTCCTAAATGAGTAGCCCCCGGGCATCTCGCAAAGTAATGTAGAGTCAGAGGGCACCTATCACCCGAAGGCTACACAACGAAGCAGCACTTGAAAAAATTCTAAGTCCTAAAGATTGGGCCCCCGGCCCAATCAATATTACAGCCAAGGGAATATGGTAGCCGAAGGCCATGCAATACAACAACACTTAAAAAAATTCTAAGTCCTAAAGAGGGCCCCCCGGCCCAATCAATATTACAGCTAAATGAATATGACAGTCGAAGGCTATACATCAAGAAGGGATGCCATCTCCCGAAGGTTCCCAAGGGAAAATCTACACTTAGAGGATTTTCCGAGTCCTACATATTTTTCCCCCGGTCAACTACTCATACATCAAAAAGGGATGCCATCTCCCGAAGGCTCCCAAGGGAAAATCTACACTTAGAAATCTTTCTAAGTCCTACATATTTCCCCCTCATCTCAAGGGACTTAATAGCCGAAGGCTACCTATCAATCAAAGGCTACAGTACACAAGGAATCAACACTTAGAAAAAATTTCTAAAGTTCTAACTTTTGCTGAGCCCTCGGTTGTATATCCAGCATAGGGTGCCCAACTACCGAAGGCTACAACCATATTCAAACACTTAGAAAATATTCTAAGTCCTAGACATACATTCAAAAAGGGTGAAGGCATACATTCAAGAAGAAACGAAGGCATAACATTCAAGAAGAAAGGAATCAGAGAAAACAAGCCATATATACAAAGCCCGAAGGCAATCATTCATCCATTTAAAAAAAGGGGATTCAAATGTAACTAATACAAACGGGCCGAAGCCGAAGGGTCGATGGTGTTCATTACAAAAATATGTTCGGGGATTTCTAAGTACAAAATCACTCGACAACTTCAACAACATCATTCCCCGAGGTGTCCTCTGCAGCCGGCCTCGACGATGCCTCCGCTCCGGCCTCAACAGCGTCGTCCTCGGCCTCTTTCTTCAGCTCTGTGTCCTCAAGGTCGGGCCTTTGTACACCTTCGGGAAGGGATTCACGGACATCAGGCTGCAGGGGAGGGAGGCCATATGCCGAGGGGGAAAAATCCTTTGGCTCAATGCCCAAGTGCTGAGCCATCCTCCGGTAGATGAGGGCCTGGGTGAAGAATTCGCCGGCCTCATAATATTCTCTGCCCTTCCGGGCCATCCATTCCCACCCAGGGCCCTCGGCCCATTCATCGACGTATGCCTCCACGACCGAGGACAGCCACATCTTGCGTCCCTCGGCTCTCCAACCCTCGGCGACGAAGGCATCAACGGCCTCCTCCCGAGCCTTGGCGACGGCTAGCGCCTTGGAATCCTCGGCCTCTTTGGCAGCTCTCCTGGCCTCCTCAGCAGCGGCCTCAGCATCAGCCTTGCTCTTCTCTGCAGCCTCCAATCTTAGCTCCATTTGCCGAAGCTCCTCTTCTAGCCTGGCCCCCAGCTTCACCGCCTCTTAGTTTTTGAGGATACACTCCTTCATCTTGGCGTCCTGCTCTGCTTTATGGAGGCGCCATTCTTGAAGCCTCCGGGCATGTTCGCCGAGGGCTAGACAAGCCTGCAGACCAACAACGAAAATGGTTAAAGGCAATCACACAGACTGACCAAAGGAGAAAAGGAAGAAAGCCGAGTGAACACTTACAGAGAGGGAGGAGCGGAGAATGTGGTCCTCGAGGGCCGCATCGTTATAGGCCCCGAGGGCAGCCCTATCAGTCTCAGGGGTTATGCCCCTCAAGATGGCCCCCGGGTCAATAGCGTCGCTGGCCAGGGATGTCCCCCTCGGAAACGAAACTTGGAGGACCTCGGGCAGCAACTCCTCTGCCCCCGCCGGCGTCCCACCCGACGGCTTCTCCGCATCCACTCCAGCGGCGGGGTGCTCATCAACAATCATGACCGGGGGCTCCTTATCAGTGATATCCCCCTTCTTCGGCTTTTTGGTAGCCGGGGGGGGGGACCCCTTGGTCGCCGCCTTCCTCTTGCTGGCCGCGGTGTCGCCCTCGGCTTTCTTGAAGAGGGCAGTGGGGGGCTTCTGGTTGCCCTGTCCAGACCCCTTCGGGTCCTGTTTCTTCAGGCGAGCGAGGCCCTTCACATTCACCATGGACACGGGGATACCTGCAAAAATACGACAAAGGATTAGGCCGACGGGTCTAAGCGAAGGGACAATGACATCCAAGCAAAAAAAAAACTAAGTACAAAAATCTAAAGCCCTCGGCTCCTACCTCCGGCTCCTCCGAAGGCCTTGTTGAAGGGAGGATACTTCTCATCGGTCTCCCCTATGAATCCCGAGGGTGTATAAATCCTCCTCGAGGGTGCAATCTTTGATCGCCACGTTCTTATTTTTCCCTTCCGGGAACTTGGCCAGCTTTAGGCCGTCTTTCTCGAGGGCAACACTCCTGATCATTCCGTGCCTCCGGAATCGATCATGCAGCTCCCTCGGGAATGGGTTCTCGCCCAACTTTACATAGCACCAACGTTCCCTCCATCCTTTGTTGGAAGAAGGAGCATCGAAGAATAGTTTGAAGCGGGCAATCTGCTGCAGGTTCGCGTATCCCTCACCGTTTTCGTGCCCCCCCGGCACAAATTAAAGCTCTGGAAGAATAGATCCAGGCTGGGCTTCACCCCTCGGGACTTGCAGAGCTGGAGGAACCCCGCAATGTAGGAGTGGCTGTTGGGCGTAAGTTGGCAGGGGACCAAACCAACAAACCTCAAGTACTCCCGGAGGAACGGGTGCAGAGGGAACCTAAGTCCCATAGAAACCGAGAGGACGTGAATGGCGATACACCCCTCGGGCGCCCTGGACAACACGTCGTCAGGACCTGGCTCCACCACTTCGGCCGAGGGCCCCACGTGCAGCTGAGTCACGTACAGATCTGCCCTATCGGCTTTCGACCTAATCTCGAGGGCCTCAGTGTTCAACCAACTGTACCCCTCGGGCATGTCCACTGGCTTTCCTTGATCGACAGCCCTCTCCTTCTTCTTGGTAGCGGCCTTCGCTTTCTTCTTCTTCAACCCGGAAACCGCCCTCAGAGGTATCGGATCTAGCGGCCTCGAGCTACTGGCTTCCCCAGAACCCCGGGGGGGGGGGGGGGGGAGAACAACAATTGTAACCTTCGTGCTCTCATTCTGCGCCTCATCCTCCGCTACTTGCCATGCGAGAGCTAGGTCTTCATCCTCGCACTCTTGCTCGAAGCCCTCGGCTTCGACCTCAGCAATGAGTTCCTTCTGGACCTCCCGGGCCAGGGCGGCGTCAGCACCGACCGAGGGCTCGCTCACGGACTCCGCATCTGAAACGTGCTCCTCACCAACCGAAGGGTCCCCCGATATGTTTTGGGAATCGCTCTCGGATGACATTCTTTGCCACGAAATGTGCCTAAGGTTTCGAAGGATTTCTACGGGACCCTAACCCTAATCTAAGGCCAGAGGGCGGAACTTACAAAAAGTGTTGAGGGAAAAGCGGGACACTGACAATGAAAGGAGTTTGACCGAAGGCTTGAGTTTCTCTCTCTAGAATTTTTTGCAGAGCTTCGCTAGGGATGTTGGATGCGTAAAGGAGGAATGGCCCTGGCTTGGGGTATTTATAGGCTCCCAGATCCGGGCTTGGGCCGAGATCCGGGCTCCCAGCAGCCAAAGCCATCATTACGCACCGTCGTTTCACCCAACCGGTGACGCCCGCCCGCGAGCAGCCAATGGCTGCACTCCACGTGTACCCCCCCCCAACGGCTATAAATCTGACGCTACATATTCCAACGGCTATATTTCAACGGCTATATTCTGGAAGCCCCCGGGTTTTTCTGCTTCACTCCACTTCATCAAGGAGAGCCTCCGGGTACACTTACCCAGAGACGCCTTCGGGATCACTCCTTCAGAAACCCAAGGCTTCATATCAGGGCACCCCTCGGGGATTCCCCCTCAGCACTGTAAGAACCGGGTAGCCCCCGGGGAGTTGCCTCATTGACGGATAACCCATGGCACACAGGTAACGGGAGCCCTCGGGTATCTTCATCACCAACTAATCAACAAACAGTGGACCCCCCGATAACAACTCCACTGCTGCCCACATCCATCAGGCCCTCGGTCCCCAGATTAAGGGGCTCCCCTTCGGCACCCCCACGACATCAACAGCAAGCCTTTGGCTAATCAACATATGGGCCCTCAGAAGAAGAAGAGCCTTCAGCATTACCGTTATTCTCCATTTTTGACCAAGGTTTCACATTTTCGATTCATCATTGGGGGAATTCGGTGCACTCTTTTTCCCTCACTAGGATTTTTTCCCACAGGGTTTTTCCTAATGAGGTTTTTAACGAGGCATCCCCCCAAAATGAAACGAAAATCGTCAGCCTTCGGCCCACAACAGCAACGCAACTACTCTACTCCTTTTCACCACTTTACAAGTGCCTCAAGGAGTGGGGGACTGGAGGACCCCCTCGGGAAAATCAACCCCCGGGTACACTATCCATCATAGGATAAATTTCCATTTAGGGAAATGAGAACTTTCCAACGGGACATCCAAAAAAGGAAGGTGGGAACATTCCAACGGGACGGAGGGAGTATTTAATAAAAATTTGAAATTCGTAAGGTATTTATTAATATAGTAAATAGGTTTTGAAATTTTAAAGCATTGTTATGTTTTTAGTTTTTACTATCATTTTATATAAGTAACATTACAGTACTTAATATTAGTATTTTTCAATAATGACAGTAATTTTTAATCATAAGAGTAACGACTCAAATTTTAAGGAAAAAAATATAAATTTTTCATCATGATAGTAACGACTCCAATTTCGTAAACATAACAATTTTATTTAGGATGAATATAATCTACACTTTATGTAGAGCATTCTCACAAAATTTCATTAAAAAGTTTTACTCGGAAACACCTCAAATGGAGGTAGTTAGATGGTGTTATTATCAAGAAATTCTTGACACGAATATTTGTCTTGCATAATACGGAGTATAACTTGTACAGTGTGGACTTGACCAATCCTGTTGTTTTACTACTTTACTCTGTTGGAAAAATGTGTTAAAAATTGCATTAAATGGTCATTTTGGGGCAATTATTTGAGTGGGGTCCACTTCCGATTTGGGTCGGGTCAAAGTGGTTTCGGATTGTCCTTGTTAAGGGCTACAATTCGATATATGGTACGCTCAAAACGGATAACGGGTGAATGAGAAATTGATTCTCGAAGTTCGCTCGTTGTAATGGAAAAACTGGGAAAATGATGAGTTTCTAGTGTGTTTTATCCCACACCGAAAAACTCAAGGGATTTTCACCCCCTTTTAAAAGGAAGCCTCTTTTAAGGAGTTAAGATTCCTAAAGGGAAAGGCTCTCTCTTACGCGCAGGGGGGGGTGCCGATCAAATCCCGACTTCCGTTACAACTATTAATGTCCAACGTTCTTCTCTTTTAATGCTGCGTTAAATGGACAATTTATGGACGATTCAATGCCCAACGGACTGGTCATTGATGTCCAACGTTCAGGTCCATTAACACCCCATTTAACACACAACAAATCCTCCTATAAATAGCTGGCAGGTGCTTTGCAACAAATACACGGTTTGACAACGCACATCACTGTCCTCACGTTTTCTTGAGCTAAAAACTCTTCCAGCTACTCCCAAAATCCTTCTGTGTTCATACTTGGTTCTCGTTCGCTGGAACTCTTGTTTGTGTGCTCAAACATTAGTTCGTAGTCATCGTATCCTGGGAAACGATTGTTGCAACGCCCCTAGCACCATGGGAGGCAACAAATACGTTTTAAGGAAATCGTGCGTAGCACGAGCTTTGGCTAATTCTGCTTCATCTCCTTTCTTGTTTTCCTCTAGTCATTTTATTTAATTAATTTATTTTAATTAATTTTCTTTATTTTCCGAAACACACCCAACATACTCTACTTTTATATATATTATTTGTTTATATTTTGTTATTTGTTGATGGCAAATGTCTAGTACTACCGGTCAGTTTGTTACTACTAGTATGTAGTTTTTACTCATGGCTCAATACTAATATATGAATATTTTTTGTGGTTGAACGACGTGCTATTAGATGTGTACCTTAGAACTATTAAACATTTTTGCTTGTCCGTTGATGCATATTTTAAACCTTTATATCTTTGTTATGTTTAAATTTATGTTCGCACTTGAATATTTTTGTGATATTTGAACATTAAGTCATTGGAATATCATGTATGCATAATGTAATGGTCATAACTACGACAATTATTTTCATGATTTATGATTTGAATATTTTTATATAACTAAAAGTAATATGTGTTCATTTTACGAAGATAATAAATTTTATAATGGACCATAAAAAGGTAAAACACAAATCGAATTTTATTGGAATCGAAATTGAGTTTAACAACTACATTTTTTACAAGAATGGAATAGAATTTGACACTTACCATTTTTAATACAGTTCTATGGAATTGTAAATGGTATCGAACCGGTTGGTGTAGCTCAACTAGTAGTGAGGGAGTACCACAAGGGTTAGGTCCCGGGTTCGAATCCCGGTAACTGCGGTGAGAGGTTACTATGCTATAAAATGCATAGGGCATGTGCAAGTACCGGGGACAGAGCCTCACTCTCTATATGTCAGATTTGGATTATAGTCATGTTGGAATATTGGGCCCAAGGCCCAAATACCCGGCCCATTAGTCAACAAGGGTCCAGACGAAGAACAGGCCCAGTAAAACCATTATACCGAACGGGATCCAGGAATCCATGAGGTTTATATCCCGAACGGGGATCGGGTTAGACAGGATACTTGGATTAGATTAATGATGATATCATCATGGGGCATTGTTGTGATGTCTGAACGGTCAACCTGCAAGTGGCAAGGAACATTTAATGCTATGATATGACATCAGCAAGTGAGCATGGACATCCAAGTGGCAGGAAACAACAGCAGTTGGGTTCGGCCACGTCATCCCCCACATACCTTTTTTTAGTATAAATAGAGACATTGATATCATTTCGGATTACGATGTTTGACTGATGATAAAGCAACTCGATCCTTGTTCATAATCAGATAACTTTTACTAAATAAAATTTACATATTGAGAAACTACATTAAAACTGCTACAAAAGCTGATAAAAAAAAATATATATATATATATATATTTGATAAATATTTGATATATAAAACATAAGATTAAGAGTAATTTAAGTTGACCATGTGAATAGTGACTGTGAAGTTCATTTTGGGACGGAGGGAGTAGCATTCTAGCTCTTGAATTAGCCTTTGGAACGTAACTCTCGTTCAGCCATTTCTGTGTAATTGTTATTACTGCGTTAATACACGCTGAGTTATTTGAGTAGTTGAATCAGATTTCATATTTTATTTTATACACTTTACTGTAGCAAATCGCACCCTAGATCCAAGGTTGGTGTTGGGCCTTCGGGTCATTCGGGACTAAACTTCATCATTGACGCCGTCTGTGGGAACTAACTAAAAGTTTCAAAAGCAAAACACTGATCTAAGCAAGTTACACACATCAACATGGTCAGAAACACGTCTCAACATACTCATGATACTACCAGGGGACAGGGAGGCAGCAGGTCCTCCGGATCGATGTCATCATCATGATTAACATTTTACTACTTGGATTAGATTAATGATGATATCAGCATGGGGCATTGTTCTGATGTCCGAACGGTCAACATGCAAGTGGCAAGGAGCATTTAATGTTATGGTATGCCATCATCAAGTGGGAGCATGGACATCCAAGTGGCAGGAAACAACAACCAGTTGGGTTTGGCCACGTCATCCCCCCACATACCTTTTTTTAGTATAAATAGAGACATTGATATCATTGTAAAAGGTTAACATTTTCCACTCACAAACTCTGATAGCATTCTAGCTCTTGTATTAAACTTTGGACCGTAACTCCCGTTCGGCCATTTCTGTATAATTGTTATTACTGCGTTAATACAAGCGGAGTGATTTGAGTAGTTGAATCAGATTTTATATTTTCTTTTATACACTTTACTTTAGCAAATCGCACCCTAGATCCACCAAGGTTGATGTTGGGCCTTCGGATCATTCGGGTCTAAACCTCAACAAATTCAACTTACATCCTGCCAACGTAAGGATCAAGATTGGTGTTGGACCTTCGGATCATTCGGGTCTAAACCTCAACAAATCCAACTTACATCCTCTCGACGTAACGATTTTGGAGCCAGTACTCCATAATTTTTAACATTTTTAAAAATTGCCCCTTTTCTAACCGTATGGCGGCTTGGTCCCATACCAGTAAGTTGTTGCAGTTCCAAACTTCCAATTCGCCGGCCGCTGTCCATACCCCTAGTCGGCGTCTGTGATCTATAAATCTTCTATCCGTTTGGTGTGGCTCGCCATATTGTTTTTGCTTCCTTTCACTTTTAATTTGTTCCGATGGCTACAAGAGAAGGTAAAAAGACGGTCTTGAAGTTCGAATCGGAGGATGACGTTGCGGTGGCTCTTGCAAAATACACCGCCGATTTATCGGGGAAGTTTATCCGGCAGAAAAACTCTTTCACTGTTGTCCTCTCCGGTGGCAGTCTCATCGACACTATGAGGTAATCTTTCATCCGATTTTAATATACTTTTTTTTCATTTGCCTGTTTTGAGCCTTTAGGGATGAAGATGATTGTTGATTGAATAGGAAACTAGTGGATGATCCATACAAGGAATCAGTGGATTGGTCAAAATGGTTGATCTTTTGGGTGGATGAGAGGGTGGTTCCTCTCGATCACCCTGACAGCAATTATCTGCTTGCCTTCAATGGCTTTCTTTCCAAGGTTTGCTTCACTACAGTTATAGGCTTCATTTTGAACTGAAACTAATTTAGGACTGCTTGAAATTTAGAAAGTGTTGGAGCAAGATAAATATGTATGTTGTGAAACTGTTGAAGTATATTCACACCCTTAAAATATGAGTTAGGGAGTATTGAACTATTATATAGATTAGTTTTTAGTATGGAACCTTGGATCTTAGCGTATACTTCTCAAAGACTCAACTTATAGCTGCCATTAACACAATTTGGAACAATGATTTGGAATACGGGTTGAGATTTTAGTACATTGCTTGTGTTTTTTTACAGGTTCCAATTCCCTCTACAAACATATTCGCAATAAATGACAAGAAATCACCTGAAGGAGCTGCAGATGATTATGAAACTCGCCTCAGGCAGCTGGTGGAGTCCAAAATTTTGCCTGTCTCTCCCACTGGCTTTCCCCAATTTGATCTAATGCTGCTAGGCATGGGCCCAGACGGACACGTGGCATCTCTATTCCCAAATCATCCTCAGCGTCATGAGAAGGAACGTTGGGTAACTTTCATCACAGACTCACCGAAACCGCCACCCCCAAGGATCACCTTCACATTCCCGGTGATCAACTCTGCTTCTGAGAATGCAATGGTGATTACCGGTGGTGAGTTGGCTTACATGGTGAATATTGCTTTGGGTGATGGGGTGGCTCCTGATGGGGTACCCCCACCTTGCACTGAGGTTTCTGCTGAGGATGAGTTGACCTGGTTCTTGGATAAGGATGCAGCTTCTAAACTGAGATGAACCTAGCTTATGATCTTGGATTCTAAGAACCAACTAAGGCAATTAGACTAATAGTTATGATGATAATAATAACAATAATACTTTATTGCCGGTCGTCCTGTTGGTAATGTAGATTTGTTGTAACTGGATCCTGAAGAATGAATAAGATGTGCAATGCGTGACATGGCCTGACCTCCTCACTTTATCAGACTTTGATTAGGATTTGAGTTTTATTCCGCTCTCTGAAATTAAGGGTCCATCAAGTGGAAAATGGTTTTCAACGGTTTGTCATGATATGCAACTAAGTTTAAGCTGGAGTCTACTTGAAATATGTATATAAAAAAAATATGTTAATAAAAAATATATGAAAAGCATTAGTATTTGTTAAATCCCACATCGGAAATGTTTGATTAACGAAGTGCTATATTGAGACATGGGCTACTCCTCCTATCAGGTTGACCTTCGGAAATGTTTGAGTCAACGAAGTGCTATATTAAGACATGAGCTACTCCTCCTATCAGGTTGACCTTTTAGAATGGAACCCTTGGTTTTAACTATTCACGGTTTGGACCGGGAAGGACTTGTGTGATTGCAACCTGAATTCTGGGAACATTTGATTGGAATCAGATTGATATGTCATCGGTGCAAATACAATCTCGACGAACCAGTTCTATTTACTTTAGATTGGATTGCCTAACATTGTAGAATGTTGACCTAATTTTAAAACAACATTTTGTGAGAGAGTGATGTTTAACGACTTTAACCTTGAGTTACATCTAACATAAGGCTGTCCAAGGAATTTTAATGCATCAATGAGCCTATTTGGTAACCTAGCCTCCGTTTTTTGGACATATCAACATTATGAACTACTTTATATCAACTACTCTAACCTTACTTGTTAAATTTGTTAAACATAATCGTTTTAACTATTTTTTCATAGTTCTTCATATTCAATCAATTCAAGCATTTCCCTCGTGATGTAATCAATTTCAATAGACTCAGCCCACCGGTTAATCTTAGGGTAAAAATAGGTGAATTTAAATTAATACATCTATATGTATAAAGATAATGTTTCACAAGTAATTTCATTTTCATTTACCCTAGTGCCGCAAAGGCTCCCACCTATGGTGAGGTAAGGGGGAGTCGGATGTACGCAGTCTTACCTCTGTACTAAAGCACAGAGAGATTATTTCCGGATAACTCATAGTGAAAATCTCATCCAAAATTGCATGGACTAACTGCTGCTTCATAACAAAGAAGCGCAGACGGTTCAGTGAACCATTTTGCTTTATTCCATCATAATCTCAAGTCAAAAATAATGAATTTTTGGCTCCATTGCAAATGATGAAAAATTAAACATGAAATTTTATTAGATTACCTCCCTTCAAAGTTAATTTAGGGGAGCAGTCTGGCGTCCTATTGAAAATTATAACCGTTTGGAGCCTTAAACCTCCAAAAGGCCTGCTTTGCCATGAGAAGGCACGCTAAGAATCTAAGCTGTTGTTGGGGTGCTAATTAATGCGTCTTAATTCCTAAGGAGACATTGCAGGGTCAAGCAATTTGGAATTGGAGTTTGGTCTGCTCTGCTGTGAGCTATGAATTACACGTAAGTCTTGTTCTTGATTGATTCTGAAATTGGTATTTCTGTGGCGGGAAGGAATGAATGAGCGATAGCTGCTCGATCATTTGCCTGAAAGAAACTGAACAGAGTATTCAAAGTAGAAGCAATGACTAAAATAGAAAACTTTAGGAAACTGTACAATAATAAGACGACCATTACTCACAAATTGAAACGTTAGGAAAGTAGTTAATTAATAGGGAAACTAGGTGTTTATTAGGTTTATAACCGAAACTAGGTGTTTATTAGGTAGAGAAACAGGATATTTTACGCAAGTCCAATGCAAGCATGTTTATTACGTATTGATTTACGCAAGCATGGGTAGAGAAACAGGATATTTTTATACCGTCAAACTAAAAGGATTTATGTATATATTGGAGGGAAAAGGGTCAAATAGGAGGCTCTATCCGACCGTCGCTATTTGGGGTGGTTCCCGGTGGAATGTTTTGATGATTTTTTTTAGAATCATCTTCATTAAGTGTAGTTTACTCATACCAAAGTTCAGCTAAAAATTCAATCGGGAAAGAAGTCAAATGAATTTTTGAAGATAACTGCGCAGTTAAACAGCGTAGTACATTTCAAAAAATCATTTGACTGTCTTTCCGGTTGAATTTTTATCTGAAATTTGGTAGGGGTAAACTAGACTTAACGAAGAAGATCTCAACAAATTTCATCAAAAAATTCCACCGGGAACCGCCCCAAATGGCGACGTACGGACAGAACCTCCTATATAAGGGGTGATTTGCACATTTTATGTTAGTTCTAGGGCCTTCTTTTCCCTTTATTGGATGAAAAGTTTGAATGGAAAAAATAAAAAATGGAACATGGAAGTTGTTCGGAAATGTAGAACTCTATACATTCTACTTTTGTATAATACACTTACAGCACCATGTGAAAAGTTGGTATCAAGGGTGTACCTAGCTTCTAATAGGGAAGAGTAAATTCCCTAAATAGGGGTAAAAAAGTTTTGAAATTCCAAAATAGGAGTATCATGTTTTTTATTCGTTAAATAGGAGTAAATTTCTGCCAAGTTTAGCATTACTGGGCTTTTAAACATGTCATTTTTTTCAAGCTTGACAGATTACTTCAATTCAAGGAATAAAAAACACGATACTCCTATTTTGGAATTTCAAAGCGTTTTTACTCCTATTTAGGGCAATTTCTAAATAAGGAAATGTTCAATTAGTGATCGCAATACTTAGAGTTGAGACAGTCATTTCATCCTCTTTTGCTTGGATTTATACAGAATACACTCTTTTACACATGTTACATTTCATCTCTAAGGGTATGTTTGGGAGTTTGGAGGGAAGGGGAGGGGAAGACTTTGGAGGTATGTTGTTGGAGGGAAAGGGAGGGGAGGGTGAGTAAGCTCTTCTTTGTATTTGGGAGTAGTAAAATTGGAAGAAGAGGGTTTTTGAAGAAATTATAATTAAAATCACTTTGAGATATGACGAATTCAAATCATTGAGCTGATATTCGTTTCTAATTTAGCTTAAATTACCATCTTGTTAATTATCCTCCAAAACCCTTCAAATTGGGGATCTTAAAAATTAAGCATTTGGAGGGTTTTGAAGGGTTACAAAAGCCCTCCAAAACCAACCTTCCAATTTTTTAAACTCCCAAACATGAAAAGGAGGGTCATAAACCCCATTAACCTTCTCATCCCCTCCAAAACCCAACTTCCAAACACACTTTAAGGGTATGTTTGGGAGTTCGGAGGGAAGGGGAGGGGAAGGCTTTGGAGGTATGTTGTTGGAGGGGAAAGGAAGGGGAGGGTGAAGAAGCCCTTCTTTGTATTTGGGAGTAATAAATTTGGAAGAAGAGAGTTTTTGAATGAATTATAATTAAAATTACTTTGAGATATGACGAATTTAAATAATTGAACTGATATTTATTTTTAATTGAGCTTAAATTATCATTTCATTAATTATCCTTCAGAACCCTCCAAATTGGGAGAACTTAAAAATTAGGCATTTAGAGGGTTTTGGAGGGTCATGAAAGCCCTCCAAAACCATCCCCTCCAGTTTTATAAACTCCCAAACATGAAAAGGAGAGTTATAAACCCCCATCAACCTCCCTCTCCCCTCCAAAACTCAACTCCCAAACACACTCTAAAAGATTCGAGAAGGTGTTTATTAGGTTTATAACCGAAACTTAAACCAACTAAAACTCTACAAATTTAGATGTTCATTTTGTACATACTGTTTTCCTTATCGCCTACTCAATTGGGCTATTCAAAGTTATACTCCATAACTTTCTTATCTACGTGATCAAATAAACAAGATTGTTGATTTGTTGGATTATTTTCAAACATGAAAGTTGACTTATGTCCCACTTAAAGATAGATAAAGTTTCTAACTTTATTAAAGAAGTCTTCCAAGAAAATTATAATTAAAAGATGATTGGACAGGTTTGATGTTAAAACTTTTCACAATAACAGGACTGGTCAACATTCAATACCTACCATTTCAGTTTTGCACATTTTTGTCAAAACAACCAACTAATTGCTTCCTCTTAAATTTTTAAGGTGCCAAATGAATGCCTCCACCACTGACCCAACAGGAACTCTTATTGATCCTGTCTTTGTCAAACATGCAAACAATTAAGAAGACCTATGCTTTGAATGACAGCTGCCCAATAGAGTTAAACCTAAGCCGTGAAATGCTTATCCATCATTATTGACCCCCCTCAAAAATGAAAAATGCTTAACACACATATATGTTTCATTTTAGGTTTAGAAGATAGTTATAGAAAAATGAAGATAGCTATAGAATTAGAATATATTATATGTGTGCATATAAGATTCACATACACACATATATTCTAGAGAAGACAACCAGCTCTGGATAACACACTAATTAATACCGCTTGATGTCTTTTTTTGTGTTACAATATGTATTACACTTTAAAGTTCAAACAGAAAAAAGTCAAATGGGACACTATAACGAGACATTTCTATGTGCGGTACATTAATTGGGTCACATGACTAACTTTTCACAATATGTACCACATAAATTGTCTCCTAGTAATATGCACAGTTCATCCTACAGTTAGGGCTTGTTTGGTTTGGAGATTTTGGAGGTACATGGAGGGAATGATTAATTTTCTATTTTACTAATTTATCTGAAGTTGTTAGTTTCTTACTACAAATAACTATATAATTAGTTAGACCACGTATTTTTATATACTATTTCATCTTCACTGTATTTCAATTTTTCTAACGACAACAAAATCTAAGCCTTAGTCCAAAAAGATTTTGGGGTCGGCTAACATGAATCGATAAATGATATCACCACCAAAAGAAAAAGAAAGAAAAGAAATATAAAAAGATAATACAAAAAGAGATTGATATACATAAAAAAGATACTCCCTCCGTCCCTAAAAGGATTGCCAAGTTTGACCAGCACGTAGAATAATAAAGTAAAAACTATGTGATAGATATTTGTGCAGAGGAGAGAGAAATAATAGGAACCACAAATTGATTGATTAAAGGGGAAAGTGACAAAGTTTTTGGCACAACCAAAAAAGGAAAGTTGGTAAAGTTATAAGGGACGGAGGGAGTAGAATAAAAGGGATTAAAAGAATATACATATATATAGATAATAGGATAAAAAAAATTACCCCAGCCAAACTGGTCCTTAGTTATAAATAGTGGCCTCCCTCTGTTTGAAGGCAAGCAAATATACCCACTGAAGCTTCTCCTCTCCCATATCCTCTGGGACAGCCTTCCATCTACAAATTAATGAGACAATTAAGAGGGAAAACATTGCTGAATAACTAGAACATCTGATCATCAAAGCCATGGATGGTGGCGCGTGGAAGCTGTGCACGTCCTTGATCCTTTTCGGAATACTTATTTTCGGTAAGCATTACAACTCTTGGTTTCAGCTTTCAATTCTTCACAATTCATTTTTTGCGAGGTTTATACATTTACAAGAACAGAAGTACAAGTATTATGATAAGACAACCCGAGGTTCTAAGTGCTGAACTGAATGATGATGATGATTATCATCTGATTTGTATTATGATAATCAATAGCATCTTCTTAAAAACCCAACAACTACAATGAACCCAGGAACAAAAGTTCTCTGAGCTCACTGGTTTGAATCCCCTAGAGAATGTAGATTCTTATCCACATGTTTCTATTAGATGAATCTCATTGCACATTGATTTTATAGTTATCTAGTACTTTATGGCAGCTTGTCCTTACAGGAAGGTTGTTATGCTACGTATGAGTTAGTGTTCAAGTTTGCCTCCCTAGCTCCTCGGCAGTCTGTGACATATGAATCTTCTTCTATCTGTGTGCTTAATCTGCCATCATGGTCATTGTTGTCTCACTTTAGCTTTGTTCTAATGACTATAGGAGAAGGTAAAAAGACAGTCTTGAAATTCGGATCAGAGGATGACGTGGCAGTGGCTCTTGCAAGCTACACTGCCAATTTATCGGGGAAGTTCATCGGACAGAAAGATTCTTTCACTGTTGTCCTCTCTGGTGGCAGCCTCATCCACACCATGAGGTAATAGTTAATGTCATTTTTTGTTGATTTACTATCCCATTTCCATTTGCTTTTTTGAGCCTTTATGAAGTGATGATTATTGGTTGTATAGGAAACTAGTGGAGGATCCATACAAGGATTCAGTGGATTGGTCAAAGTGGTGGATCTTTTGGGTTGATGAGAGGGTGGTACCACTGAATAACCCTGACAGCAACTATCTTCTTGCCTCAAATGGTTTTCTTTCCAAGGTGAGCTTCAGTCAGATGATTTTTTCCAACTGAAATGGATTTAGGGTGTTCAAGGAATTTGAAAAAATCTCTAAGATAAATGAAATACAGCATGGAAGTTTGAGGGAAAGTTGAAAGGAAAGGGTATCTGGTGAAATTAAAAAGAGGAAGTTCACTACATAGTAATAAAGCATAAAGAATTTCCTCCTATAGGACCTGCGGCCACTAATGTTCTTTTTAAAATATGACTCATTCACTTTTAAAAGGAAAATTTTCATGACTTTATTCTTTTATTAAGACTAAATTAGTCATATTTTTGTAAAACAAGAATACTACGGAGTATAACTTATGCACTTTACTATGTTTATCTTCTATTTTCAGCTATTTCTTAAAGGGAAAATCACACATTTGGTCCTTCATTTACTTCACACATGGAAATATAGTACGTCTTTTATTTTTTACAAATATGGTCCCATCAATGTGTACCATGTTCTAGCTAAACTATTAAAGTCTCTGTTGTTAGTAATTTAACAATCTCTTTTCCGATATTTTGAGCGACATGAACTGTATTTACAATGTCCTGCAATAGTGAGGGACGATATGCGCAACATGCTGCCCAATTAAGGGATGATATTTGCACAAGTTTTTAGCAGAGTTTGTGATGTCTTTAAGGGCAGGACTAAGTTTAAAATGTATTTCACAATTAAGGGATGACATTTGCGAACTCATGTTCTGCTGAGTATTTTTTTAATTGGTGGCATCACAACAAACTGATATTTTTCTTATTTCCCCATGATCTTTAAATGAAAAAAACTATTGGATATTAGATGGTTTTTTGCAGTGCTTCTTGCCTGGAGTAGTTTGTCTATGACTAAGTTACAGAATGCGGCAGGCTTCAAGGGAGAAAAAGATGCAATAACTTTGCAGAACATAAAACGGAGTATTAGATTTTTCAAAGCTAAATATGAGTGATAAGATGATGATTTCAATTCAGTGTCATGTATACGTGTATAACATGCCATAGCATTGCAGAAAGTAAAAGTGGAGTATTTAGAATCTATTGCCTATTGGCAAAGGTTATAGGATTAAAATGATCGAATTAGCTAAAATAGTTTAAAAGGAAGCGTATGGCCTGGTAACCATTTCAGCCTAAAAGAGCAAGTTGAAAGCTAATTGTCCTGCTTAATCAACTGATAAGCAGAATTAGCAGCATAAGATACCTTTGGCTACCAAACAGAACTTTAGTTATTTAGATCTGCTCGTTCTTGATCCATCATTAATACTCCGTATGAGATAATCAATGCTCATAAATAGAAGGATCGACAAGCAGTAGAGACTAAACCCATCCGGCAGCGACTAGGCCCATAGCCACTGCCAATGTGGGTGGCTTCTAAAACAGTATTTCCTACTTCGTCCCACTAACATTGGGACAAAAGAAGGTGATACGTTAACATTGATATTGAATTGATAAAGTAAGGGTTAAGTAACAATAGTTCAGAACCACACAACTTTACCATATTTGGTAGGAGACAATCTTAGTGGAACCAATAGGAAACAAAAAAAGGGACAATCTTAACGGAAAAAGTATTTATAGCATGCCTAAGATCTTAGTACACTTCTGTTATTTTCTTACAGGTCCCAATTCCTTCAAAAAACATATACGCAATAAATGACACAAAATCTCCACAAGGTGCTGCTGAAGATTATGAAGCTCGCCTAAGACAGCTTGTCAAGTCCGGAGTTCTACATCTCTCTCCCACAGGATTCCCCAAATTTGATCTAATGCTGCTAGGGATGGGACCGGACGGGCACGTCGCGTCCCTATTCCCGAACCGCACCCAGCGTCACGAGAAAAAACGCTGGGTAACTTTCATCACAGACTCGCCGAAACCGCCACCGCAGAGGATCACTTTCACATTCCGAGTGATCAACTCTGCTTCTGAGAATGCGATGGTAATCACTGATGGTGAGTTGGCCAACATGGTGAATGTTGCTTTGGGTGATGGGGTGGCCCCTAATGGGATACCCCCACCTTGTACTGAGGTTTCTGCTGAGGATGAGCTGACTTGGTTTTTGGACAAGGATGCCGCTTCTAAAGTACGATGAAATCTAAGAGCTTGTGTAATCAAAACCAACAATAATAAAATTTTCATTACATGTCTTTTCTCTCCATTCCTTGTCACCTTGTTGGTAATGTAGGTTTGTTAGTGATTACCTTCTGAGCGATTACCTTCTCTCCTTTGAAAAATGCATCATGCCTTCATGTTTTATAATTTATCGTAAACTAACTAATTTGTGGTTTTGACTATTCCTTTCTTCTCTACACAAAATTCAATTCACAATGTTTACTTTTTATTTCATTTACAATTCAAAATTGACAATGTCCAATGGAATGGATGTAGTGTTATCTAGAGATTTTTGACAAATGTACTTACAATGCATGTTTAATTATATCACCAAGATGGCAAGATTCATGATTTCAAATAGTTAAAATTGAAACTTTGAGGTGACACACATAATTAATTGTAGCACAGAGAATTTGACGCACTTTTCAATTACAAGTTGTGATTTATAGGTATATTATTGTTAAAGTTTTGATGATAGATATGCTACTTTAGAGTGTTATTAGCCATTTAAATAAATAGGGGTGGACACCGTTCAAATCTAGACTGGTCATGGGGAGGGAAAATGGGAGAACAACTAGTCATATTCAAGGAGAAATCATATTTTTAGGGTGATGCGGTTGAATTGGCTATACTTGATGGTTTATCTTTACTATTTGAAATTGTACTTTCAATCATTAAATACTAGTATTAGATGTTTTTAATTGGATTAAAATTTTCTAGTGTTGTTTGTTTAATTTTGATCTGAACTGATTAATGTCTTGTATATATGCATTTTACAAATCTCGACCCGATTTAATATGATCTAATTTAATATGTTTATGTCTTGTTTGATATGTTTTGATTTGATTTGATTTGATTTGATCTGATCCTAAATCCTAACTATTAAAAACATCCTTGCACATTTTTATAAAGTAGAGCTGACCAAGTCTATCCCTGATTTTGCTGATTTCAACTTCATACCCAATAAGAGCCCGTTTGGAGACCTCTTTTTCGGTTTATCAGGCTTATCAGCCAGTTTTTTCATCAAACACGTAATTTTTGATTTCGCGCGCTGAAGTTTGTAATAAGTAGAAAAAGTAAGGTTGAAGTTACTTTTCTGGCTGTTTTGGCTGAAGTTATCGTAGAGAATCATTTTAGCTGTTTTTTCATATAATTATTTATTTAATTTATTGATAAAAAATATTTTAAATATAATTTCTTCATGAATCTGCAGAATCAGCCAATACAACCATTTCAGCCAGAACTTCATAAATTTCAGCAAAATCAGCCAATTCAGCCAATTTTAGTGTTACCAAACGAGCTCTAAATCAGCCAAACACCTACTTTTCTTCTGCTGATTTTTCTTAATGTAACAAGTGGAGCCTCCTTTTTTGTGTTGCCTAATTAAAAAGAAGAGCTTTTCTAGCTAACTTCTGAGTAGCATACACAAAAAGTGTAACATTTTATATGTATACACAGATAATTAAACGATTTACTGGTTTACATCTTTTGTGTACATCTAATTAATTTCTCTCCTAAAAAGAAAATATAAATATACCTTTACGGGGAGTCCCTAATTTAATCTAAACAAATCATCCGACCCGAAACTTTTATTCAACTGGTCAACCATGACAGTGAGCTTATATTTCTTGCCATTTAACTAGTTGCCATATCTAATCCATATTCCATAAGTAATACTCCCTCCATTTCCAAAAGAAAGTCACGGTTTGACTTCACGATTATTAAGAAAATAAATTGACTTTACTGTAAAAAACACTGTGTATACACTGTTTGACACTGTTTGAACACTGTTTGGCACTGTTTGGATGTAGATTTATTTGCCAAATAATGAAATAAGGGAAGTGTGACTTTGTTTTTGAAACATCTCAAAAAGTAAAGTGTGAGTTTCTTCTAGAAACGGAGGGAGTACAAAATAATCTTGCAATGCCATATTCAATGATTTTGTATATTACTATGTTAAGGCATTCTTATTCACTGCTTATTTAGGAGGCTTATTTGAAAAGATAATCTTGTGCAAGATTCAAAACCAAGATTAGAATGTAATTATTGAAATATATTTAATGCATATTCAAAAAAACTAATTAAACTTTTGTTCTAATGGGTGTTTGTTTACGGGTTTGTTTTAAAAATTAATTGTAATTGTTCTAAATAGAACTAAATGAAAACTTAATTTCACAAATAGAATTAAAGCCTAAATCTTAAATCATTCACAAATAGGACTAAACATTAATTTTCAACCCTAAATACCCCTAAGAGTATTAATTCATAATAAAATGTTTTAATTCATAATTCAATCGTAAAAAATAAAAAAACGTAAAAGATAGTAATAAATTAATAAAATATTTATAAAATAAAAATTTTAAAAAAATAAAAAAAATTATAAAAAATAGTAGAACCCCATAAAAATATCAAAAAATATGGATATCTTTCCCACCGCTTCTACCACCTTCCAGCACCACCACCTTTGATCGGTGAAAAAATGTCATATTTTATTTACAAAATGTCTTTTTTATGAAAATGCCAAGAAAATGACATCATTACTATTTATAATGACAAAATTTTCATTGAAACTGCCATCAATATGGCATTACTAATGCATGTCGGCATTTTTTCCCGGTGAGTTTTTTTTTTAATTTTTTAATGTGTTTTTTATTTACTTCTTTTTTGTATTGTTTTTTTTTATTTCTATTTTTTTTATTTTTTTATTTTTTTATTTTTATTAATTTTACTAAATATTTACTTTAGTCCAATACATTAATGTTTAAGGAAAACACCAATTCTTTAATTATCTATATTTCATTTTTCATATCAAGCATAATGACACGTCCGTGTTATCTAGTCCCAGCCTTTAAATCAAGTTCTAACTTTTCGATTTTGGATGTCTTAAATTATATTTCCTTCTCAGTAATATCTGACTTATAAAAGACTTTTTCAACCCTATGAATTAAATAGAATAATCTTGGTTTCATTACTCTTTAACCCTATCCTTCTGTTTAATCTTTTTCATAGGAATTTTTCACACCTATGACTTTTTCATGGTTTCATTTACTCTTTAAACCTATCCTTCTATTTAATTCTATTTAATTGACTAAAAAGAAAGATAGCTTTAAAGAGTAAACGAAAAAGTTATTTTACCTAAGAAGCCATGAATTTAAACTAGGAATTTAATAGAATAACCATCGAGGAATTTTTGTTCTATCGTTTTATTTACTTTTAAGAAAAGATTGTATTTTAATTTAATGATGATATAAACTGTCAACTATAGTCATTTCCTTGCGTTTCTAAGGAGTATATATGTCAGATCTTTATTGATGTGATCATGTGATCAATGTATTTTTCAATTCTCACAGGAGGCGGTAATTTAAATTTTCTAATATGAAAATTTTAAGATTTAATAGTGCTTTACGTATTACATAAAAAGTTTTTAACTTTAACTACAATTAGGCATGACAATGGTTCAGGACAGGCGGATACCGCAAGACCCAGACATGTCCCGTGACATGAAGAGATAGGTCCGCCCCGCCCCGTGACCTGCACGGGTCAAAACTTGTTGACCGCAGACCCGCTCCATACTGGACGGGTTCACCCCGCCCCGCTCCGCCGTAACCTAATTAGTTAGTATGTTTTTTTATTTGTGAGAAATTGTTACCAATTGAATCTACATAAAGTTTATATTTAAATAATTATTAAAAATTAATATAGTAAATCAAATTCACGATACGCTAGAAATTTCAAGGGTGAATTCCCCAAATAGGAGTAAAATATAGGCAAAATGAAAAAAATAGGAGTACCATGTTTTGAATAGGAGTAATTTTAGTGTTTGGACAAGTATACCCCTATCCAAACCCCAAGCTCCAACAAATTTCATTAATAATTAAAACATAAAAGAAATACTCCGTAAGATTAATTAATTTATAATAAAATTGTAAAAAATCTCAAAAAATATTAAATAAAATATACTCCGTATTAAATAAAATAAAAAATTATTAAAATAAAAAAATAAAAATAAAAAACTCAAAAAAAATTAAAAAAATGAAAAAAATATAAAAAAATATGTAGGCGTCTGCCGCCGCCTCAACAACCTCCCAGCACCACCAGCTCCGACCACCGAAAAAAATGCAAACATTTTCCCGAAATGCCATCAAGGTGGCAGATTTTGAGAAAATTTGGCATTTTCAAAGAGTAAAACAACCATCTTCATGGCATTTTCAAAGAAAAATGGTAGTTTTTACATAAAATTGCATTTTTTCGCCGGTCGGAGGTGACATTGCTGGGTGATGACCGAGGCTGCGGGAGAGGCCTGCATAATTTTTTTATATTTTTAATGCAATTTATCTATTTTTTTATTTATTTTTAAAGTTTTTTATTTTTACAAAAATAATTGTTTTAATATTTAATATTTTAATATTGTTGGGATGAACTTAGATTATTTTTAAAATTAAATTGCCTGCATAAAGGTTTCGTTTCCAGTGAATGAACTTAGATTTTTTTAATAGGATAAAATAAGTTACGGAGTATATTTTAGAATTAACTAGGTTAGGGATATTAAGGGTACAAAATTAATGTTTACTCCTATTGAAGGAAGTTTTAAGTTTTACTCCTATTTGTGCAATTATGTTTATGTTTACTCCTATATTGGGCAATTTCTCAAATTTCAAAAGTGAAGGAAAAATCACTTAGACTTGAATAGTTAATCTATTTAATTATATTAATACTTGAATATGTGTATTAAAATGCTATACATAAAGACGACATTGATAATCCGTCGTTCATCTCAGTCTAATATATATTGATTATTGATATAATATAAAATCAAAGAATTTATGATTTATTGTATACACATATATATATATGTTGAAGTATATTTGTAGTACTCCATCCGTCCCAAAATGAACTTCACAGTCACTATTCACATGGTGACATGGTCAACTTAAATTACTCTTAATCTTATGTTTTATACATCAAATTTTTATCAAATTAATATTTTTTTATCAGCCTTTGTAGCAGTTTTAATGTAGTTTCTCAATTTGTAAATTTTATTTACTAAAAGTAATCTGAGTATGAACATGGATCGAGTTGCTTTATCGTCAGTCAAGCATCGTAATCCGAAGTGGGAAGTTAATTTTGGGACGGAGGTAGTATAAGTTAAGAAAAAGTACGTATATACTTATATATTGAGCTGGTCGGGCGGGGCGGGACGACACGAGTCAATACTAATACCCGGACCCGCCCCATTATATA